GTCTGGGGTCACGCGACAATGGTGCTGCAGACAGGCCAGGAGCTTGCCGCGATGGTCCTGGCGAGTGCAGTCCGAGATCGCAGGTCTCACTTTGCCATGGTGCGGGGGCCGCCGCCTTTTCCCATGCAAAGCGCAGGCTGCGCCGAGGGCGCCAACGTGCTTGCAGCAGGTTCGCTACGGACTTACAAGCAGAAGCTGGAGCACATGCTGGGGCGCGACATCCAGATGACGGATTCCATCGCGCCTGGGCTCGTCAACGCGGCGGGCTGAATGATCACCGGGCTTCAGCCGCTGAGCCGCGGGGGCTCTCCCCGCGAGATGTTGCGCGGCAGGGGGCATAGTTGGGAGATCGCGGAGATGGGCGAGGAGGTCTGGCATCGGATCTCAGCCCGAGTTGCTGCTGGACGCGGCAAGTGGGAGGCCCGCTTCGCGAGTGGGATCTGGGTTCGAGTTGGGCGACGCTCACCTCGCGATCGACCCAGAGCGCGGCGCGCAGAAGGTCAGGGCCGCGCGGGGGATGCCCGAGGAGTTTAGGCGGCAGCCTGAGCTCATCCAGAACATCAGGGCAACGCAGTGGAAGCACATCCCTGACAAGAGTGCAGGACCCATCGGACGCAGTACGTACATCGCGGAGCGCATGATTGACGCTCGCGGCCCGACCGACGACTGCGGGAAATTCAGCGCTGGATAGGGGGCGCATTCGGCAGCTTGCCGTCAGCGGTTCAAGACATTCCAGGCCGACCTCCTGCGCGAGAAGCTGGACAAGGACCCCGCGGCCCAAGCGGCTACGGCGGCGGCGCCAGCCCCGGCTGCAGGGGGGCCCGCGCCTGCAGCAGCGGCTGGACCAGCAGCAGCATCCAGCAGTAGTGCGTTAGCGGTAGCACCCGCATTTGCTGCAGCAGACGCGGCCATGCCTCCTGTCGCAGGAGGGACAGATGCGCAGACAGCCACGCAGACGGAACCTGACCAGATCAGTGGCAGTTTCCAGAGAGGCGCCCCAGGAGGGCCGAGGGCCGAAGTGGAGATCAAGCAGAGCAGCCGAGAGCAGCAACCATCGGTGTGCTCTCTGTCTGCGAACTGGCAGTCTGGGAAGAAGGCTACGACGAGACTTTCGACCCGATGCGGGATCCACGCCCGAAGCGAAGTTTAATATGTTCGGATAGGCGTGAGAAGCATTCGTCGAGATGCATGCTGAGGGGGCGCCGCGGAGGTGAGTGCGCATGCAGGCGCTGCCTGATGAGCCACATCGGCACGATCAGGAGTCACGTAGGAGAACCTGACGAGGAGCAGATCGAGCAGATGGTTGAGGTCAGTGCCGATTTGCACGAGCACGACCAGTGGAGCCGAAAGACGATACACTACGATTAACTACACTGGAGATCCCCTGGACGAGGATCTGCACCAGAAGGGTCGTGACTACGAGCTTCAGGCCATGAAGGGCTACGGAGTCGATGTGGAGGTGGCGACGTCGACGGCGACCGGCGGCAAGCATATCAGAGGCTTCCCCATTGCCCATCAGAAGGAAGGCAAAGTCAGGTGGAGGTTCGTGGCGACAGAAATCAACGAGCACGAGGTGCGCGAGGACAACCACAAAGGCGCACCGCCGCTCATGATTGTAAGGACGACGCTAAGCCCTCGCCGCATCGATCCCTACGTCGACGGGAGGGCACAAGCGGACGATCCCGGTCTGGGACGTCGGGGAGGCGTTCTTCAATGCCGACCTCGATGAGACGATTTGTTTTCATCCTGGACGCGAGGTGTGCCCTCCTGGAAGGTGCTGGTGGCTGCGGGAGGCCATGAACGACCCCAGGAAGGCATCGCAGATGTGGGCAGAGCTGGTGCGGACCACCATGGATGACGGCCACTGGGGATGCTTGACGGCGACACCTAACGCGTTCTACTTACCAACGAGCCCCAACGCCCCTGCCGTCGACGAGGACAGTGCAGCGATCTGCCACGGAGATGACTTCCTGGCCGGAGGCGACGACGAGCAGCTGGACGAGCTGGACGAGTTGCTTAAACAGCAGTTCGAAGTCACAGCCAGCGCCACACTGCGTCCAGGAAGACCTGGGCAGACGAACTACCTCAAGAGGATCATCGGGTATACCGATAAACTGCAAGGCTCAGGTGTATTCTGAGCAGCGTTTCCCAAGCACGTGGATTTCGTGATTCAGTGGGCACAGAAACGAGGGTGCAAAGCAGCTCCTAATCCAGGGGCGACAGCGACAGGACAAGGCCGACGAGACAGCTTAGACCGTCTGTCCAAGGACCGAGCTCGGGAAGTTGCAGGTGCAGCAGGCACGGTGCTCTACCTCTCTTCGGACAGGCCCGACACGACGTACGCCAGCAAGACGGCGATGCAGCGCGTGTGAAACCTCTTTGTTCTGATGCGTGCGCGAGTTCAGCGGCTTGGACGGCGGCGCGGAGGGCAGCCTGTGTTGGTCTGGCGTTGCCCTTTGCATGGTACTCTGGAAGGCATTCGCGTGGATGGAGATGCAGACGCGGCCCCTACAAGCGAATTGCAGAGACGATCCACGAGCTGAGGAGCAGTGCGGCATGGTGGCCACACATGGGGCTGCTACTCAGTGGCGCAGAGCACCATAGCTCTAAGCTCAGGGGAATCCAAGATGCATGCTACAGGCAGTGCGACTGCCAGAGAACTCCAGTGCAGGACTTACCTGATCGAGACCCAGAGGCCCTGCAACCTGAAGATTCCAGCGGCAGCGCCGCGGGGTGGGGCACGCGCAGCACGGCGGGCGCGGGCAAGGTCAGGCACTTGGAACTGATGTACTTGTGGATTCAAGAGCGGCTGCGACTCAAGGCGTTTGAGCCCCTGATGGAGGACACCAACGAGATGACTGCCGACCTGCTCGCCAAGTACAGCGAGTGGTCGAGGATAGAGAAGCACTGCGCCACTCTGAATCTCATGTTCGGGAAACAGTTCAAGGACCTGAGCGCGATGGCAGTTTCCACGGGAGTTGGGGCTTCTGCGCTGGGCGAAAAGATGGCGGCGTACGAGGGGCCAGGCTTATCAGCAGTTTGCCCCGCACCTGTACCCCACTGCGTGGACAGCTGGGAATTCGACTTGAAGCAGATCTTGAGAGCCACAGGCTTGCGCGCGAATGGTCTCGAAGACGACCTCATCATAAGGCTGATCAAGAAGGGCAGCGTTCTGTCTGGTCGCCAGGCCAAGGAGATCGAGCAGCTACGAGTGACGGCTACGACGTGCGGACCCCAGTCATGATCTATATTCAGGACTTGAGTAGCCCTGAGGCTGCGCAGCAGTAGATCGAGACGTTGGAGAGCGAGTGCCGAGATCGCCCCGATGGCTCCCCGCTGATCCACCCAGGGAGCTCGATGGATGGTCGCAGGAAGCACCGCGAGAGCCGAGGCTGAGCTAACGACCGGGCTGCGGTTATTCCCGCGCCTGCCCGCGGCGGGTGCACGCCGCGCTCGGGCCGAGGGCCTGCGGGGGGCCCCGCAGAAGGCCCGCGGAAGGCCCGCGGAAGGGACCACAAAGCTGGTACCTTGCTCGCGCTTCTCGGCTGGAGGCCGAGCCGCTTCCTTGCGCCCCAGGAGAGGTGCTTGGAAGTTTGCAGCTTTACTAAGATATATGATCACATCAAATTATAACTGGGCGATCGCCCAAAATCCTGTAGCGTTCTGTTGTTCAAGAAAAAGAGCAGCCCTCGTTCCCCCTCTCCCCGCGACTGGGGTAGGGGAGCGCGTTCAAATGGGGTTGTGGGCTCTGGGTATTGGTTCATTCGGAGGCCCCCCCTTTCCGCGAACGTGCGTTTTAGTTTCCGGCAACTGCCGAGTAGAAGGGCGATCGGGCGCCCCATAACAAACGTACTTGCGTTCTTGAGCGATCCGTCCCCTTCACAGGCTCCCCTACCAACTCTTGCAATGTGATGTTTGGGCCCTCGGAGCTCTGGACCACATTCCCAGAACCGCTTCTCCATCGCGGATCGTTTTGTTGCTGGCCCCGGGGGCCGAAACTGTTCTTGAACGCCGAAATGTTTTGATGGGTTTTGTGTGGTCGTTCCTTGGCTGCCCGCCCATGTCGCGTATTGTCAAGTAACACCTGAGCTGGAGTTTGAACAGCCTCGGGCACAGCGTCGCCTCAATACCACGAGGGTCCGTGTTTTGCGTTTTGACCATGGTGTCATTGTTGTCGGTTTGTTTTTGAGCTTTGTTTGGACGCCTTCCCCATGGGACTAGCGCTAATGGGGTTCGAGGATCGCGAACCAGGATCTGCATCTCGCGCCGCATCGCGCATGCATCAGCGATGCCGCCTGGCCTTCTGACCCATGTACGCCGGCTCCAGACTGCGCGTGAATTGCCCGCCTGACATCTCTCGTACGTGTTTTTGTTGCTCATATGGTGTGTCGCGTTTGCAGCCGTCGATTGCCATCCAGTAGTTGAGATCGCCGAGTCCTCGTTTGCAAATGAGTCGGGGGGCGACGGTTTCCGAGGTCTCGATGTCCGCGGAGACCCCCGCAGCGGCTTCGGGAGGTGCCGATGAGGTGTTTGGAGGCTATTGGAGGCCAAGGAGAATGGCCCGGACACTTGCGGTACTCTCGATCCTCGATCCTGGTGATTCCGATTTTCGATCCTGATCACTTCGATCCTTGATCCAGGGAATCTCGATCCTCGATCCCTGGGAACCTCGATGCTGGGTCCTCGATTCTGGGAGCCTCGATCCTCGATCTTGGGAGGCTCGACCCTCGGTCCGCGATCCCTTGGGCCCTTGGGACTGGTCTCCGCGTCCTTCTCCGACAGAGGGGCGGGGGTATGTACGCACCCTGAGATCCTTCAGTTCAGCGATCTGGCCCTCGAGCGTTTCCATGGCGACTGGAGAGGACTGATGGATTTCGACGTCCTAGCATACCCACATCCATCAGTTCAGTAATCCTCGCCCCCCCAGTCGCCATGGAGACGCTCAGGGGCCAGATCGCTGAGCTGAAGGATCTCAGGGGGCGTAGGTTGGCCGCTCGCAGGACGACCCGGCCGTCCTGCACAGGCTCACGCAGGCGCCAGCCCCGGCGGGGCGGTGGTGTGCAGAGATCGGGAGCCTTGAGACGGGGGTCAATGCAAACGGGTGTCAGCCAGGGCACCTGATCCTGAAGGATCCTGCGAAGATCCCCTCTGGCTGACCTGGGTTGGCGAGCCGCTCGTGGCCGCGAGGCGGCCGCGCATATTGGTTGACCCGGGTTTGCGAAAACATGCGTTGCGTTTTTTTTCCTGCATTGCAGTCTTTCCGTTTCCTTCTGACCTGGGTCTGGATTGACCCGGGTCAGAAGATCCCTGAACAGAACAGAATTGGCAATTCAAACACGGTTTTACGAATTCATTCAGCAGGGGTGTTTGAATCTATTCAATTTTACTTGTGCGTTGATTCAAATACAGTTGTTCGAGTCCATTCGAAAGTGGATTGTTGCTTTAATTCGAAGATTGTCTGGGTTCCTTCAAGCATAGCTTTTTATATTTCTTCAAACCACCTGTTTGGGATTCATGTTTTGTCAGAAGTCATTCAAACCTGTTCGTTGCATTCGTTCAAGCATGGCTTTCGTTCGGCATGCATCAAACGCTTTGCCAATTAATTCACAACTTGTTTGTCGAACGTATCGAACAATAGTTGTTCAAGCTTAAGTAATTGCGCTTTGTATTCATTCAAACATTGCACCCGGGCGCATCCACCCCAAGTCCAGTTCTCATTCGATATTGTTTACCCACTCCGACTCTAGCTTACTCTCCGGACACCCACACCGACTCCTCCCATCCGGCTTCCGACTCGAACCTCCCATTTGGTCCACACGTTTTGTCAGGCTCCAAGGAGGACGCCAAACCAGTACGCTTTCCCGAAGGTGTTCTTCAGGTTTCACGGAACTTTTGCAAGATCTGCGAATCAACCCGCAGGATCGGTACCATGCAACATTATTTGGACGCCGGAGCACGGCATCCAACGACCAGAACAATCTTACCGACCTCTTTGCCACAGTTCTGGTGGAGGAAGAGCAGACGACGTCACTGTCGACGGCGATGTTCCCGCATGTCTTCTTCAACAACTGCCAGCTCTCTCCAGGCAGCCATCTCTAATACCATCTGCAACCAGCATCGACGCTAGCGACAACAACCATTTCGTCATCATGCACAAGGATGTGAGATCAATGGGCTCCGACGACCGCATCGAAGAACTTCTACGCAACGTGGGTGACTGCCATTGGGACGCCATCCTCAGTACCGAAACGTGTAGGACAACACGACAGGAAGATTGGATCCCAGTCGACAGGCATACCTTGTCAGGATCTGGAAACGACAGCCGGTGCTACGGAGCCGCCATCTTCCTGCACAAACGCTGGGGCCGATACGTGTGGGAGTTCCATGCAATCACTCCAGGATTGCCCACGCTGACGCTCAAGGGAGGCCGAATTCGCTTACAGTTGGTGTCGGTGTGCTTTCCGCATATTGGGTACACCAATGTAACATGTATTCATACAACACCTGTATGATGGCATTGGCGCTGTGCTGAAAGAAGCCCACGCCAACAAAATACGAACCATTAAGCCGCAGACTTCAACGCCACGGTTGGCGCGCAGCGGCAGCTCGTTGAATTGCCGACGGACGACTAGACGACCTCCGACGACGCCTCCTCTCGCTTTGTGGGCCCCCACGGCTTTGGCGACGAGAATTCCAGAGGCCAATGGCTAAAACATTTGGCCACACATCAGAAACTCGCAGTCGCGAACACGTTCTTCCGGAAACCCCTTGACAAGCATATCACATACACCACGTCCAAGGGCAAACCACGGTTGTATGTTTACATACTTGCGGGCAGAAATTGATTCCTTATGTGCATCAGAGCCGAAGCCTCCAACATAGCAGACCTCAGCTCGGACCACTTCACATTCGCTTTCCAGTGCGATCAAATGAAGTTACCAAGCGCGTATCTCGACACCCGTCTTTAACCAAGGATTCCCGCAGCAGACGGAGGGCGAGCGTCAACTTCGACAACTCCCAGCAGCACTTGGGCCGCCAATTATATCCTGGGGATTTGTCGAAAGACCCCGAGGAGTTCTGCCATGCTATCGAGAAAAGCCTGCGCGACTCCATGACGAGCGGTGCTATCAAAATGGCGTGTACACAAACAGCCGCGGCCGCTGCTGCTCACGGAGCTAGGTAGGTCCACCACGACAGCATTATACAGGCCTGATCAAACAACGCTAGAAAATCCCGAATGCTGATAATGCCACCTGGAGTTCAATCAGGAAAACAATTTGACGACACCTTCGACGGCAGAAGCGCGCTGACCAGAGAGGTCGGATCAATGCCATCTTGGACCAGTACAAGGATCTGAAACACATAGTCTAGACGAAAATTATGCGAAAGAAGACGTTGATTCTTGAGATGGCCGCGGCCGACGGCACCAAGCAGACAACTCGACAGGGCATCGCCGACATGTTCGTGGATTTCTACACTCAACTGCACGCTTCTGACGCTCGCTGCGCATTGGCAGCCGTGGATTCAGAGCCACAGCGGATCACGATTTTCACGACAAAGGAGTTGAAATGTGCAATATTACAGCTCAAGGGCGGCAAGTCTCCTGACGCGACAGGTATCCGATCTGATACGCTCCAATAGCCAGGCCCCGAGCTTGAGAACGCATTGCTGCAGCTGCACAGCACGGTCATGCAGCCGAAGCTTCCGACTCCAGCAAAGTTTTTCCCCCCCCGGCGCAACGGTCGTTACCCGGACCCCCCCCCCGGGCAACGCCAGTGATCGTGCTGGGAGGGGGGGGCCTGGGCCCCCCCTTCCATGCTGGAAGCGGACCCCCCGCAGTCCTGGCGTTGTGCTTGCAGACGTGGCGCGGGCGCTCGCAGGCTCCCTGCCTGTTGCGGCGCCGAGCTCGCAGGCATGGCGTGGTGCTGCAAGGCATGTTTGGGTACTCACATGCGCGTCGTGGCGCTTGCAGGCTATTGCGGTGCGCATAAGTTAGGCGGACTCAGTGCCAAGGCGCCCACTCTGAAGGCGGCAGGTCGGTTGGGCAGCAGATGCAGAATGCGGGAGCTCGTTTCCCACTGGCCAGGGGCTTGTGGCACGGAGCGGACAGAGGCGGGGCGCCGGCTGCGCGCGCGGGGCGCCCGCTGCGCGAGGGCCACAAAGCGATCGGGGGCAAGTTGTTGTGGAATATGTAATTGTGGACGCGGGACGGGAAAAGTATAGCGTAGCCATACCGTCGTCGTCTTCGTCGACGTCGATGGCTCAGCTACCGCAGGTTGGTTGGACCAGTATGGCTTCTGGCCAGTGCTCGTTTGCAGTGCGATACAGTCGACGCGCCTAATAAGGACGCGCGCCTTCTCCAGGGCACACCTTGCGTCCTTGCCTATGCGGCCTGTCCTTTGCCGTTTCCATTGGACAGCTTTTGCCAAAAATCCCAACTTCGGTTTCTCATAGCGTGGCGTCCTTACCACCTGTCTTTACTGCGCGTAACGATTGTAGACCCAGTGCCATGAAGAAGATCGAGACTGGGATGCCCCGCGCATGTTCCCGCAGGCGTTGTGGTGTGCGCGGGCGCTGTGGTTCACGCAGGCAGCGGTTTGCACGCCGGCGCTGCGTTGCACGCGGTTGCCGCGGTGTACACAGGCGTTGTGGTGTGCGCAAGCGCTGTGGTGCACGCAGGCACTGTGCACCGACGCTGCGTTTCACGCGGCTGCTGTGGTGCACACAGGCGTCGCGGTGTTCGCAGGCGTTGTGGCGCGCGCGCGTAGAATTCTCAGGGGCTTTTTTTTCCGTAGAGACCTGTGTACTGTATGTTTTTCAAACATATGGATTTTGTGGTATTCAGCGGTGCCCCTTATCAACAAGGGTTCTCTGTGCAATCCAGAGGCGTTCCCGTTTTCATAGCTTTGAAATTCCATATAAACAGTGTGCCGTGTGGGCGAGGGGGGCGCCGCGTGGGCGAGGGGGGCGCATTCGGTGCGTGTGATGTCTCCTTCTCCCAAATTATCCATCTCCCTCCTCATATTACCTTGGGGAGAAATTGAGGATATCGCGCGGGGCCGTCTGGGCGACCACGCGCGGGGGGCCGCCTAGGCAGGCGGGTGCTGCGCGGGCTGGCTGGCCTCCTCCTCTTCCTCCTCCTCGTGCCCGAGTGTGACTCCGAACTGTGCTAGGGCGCCGTCGGCATTGTATCTCCAGTTCCTGATTCGCCTGTCGACCTCGACCCCCCCACTGGAGGATGAGGGCGTCGGCGACCTGCCGTTCCTTCCGGCCCGTCGGCCAAAAGAGCCGCCGGTGGAACGGGTCGCCTGGACGGGGCAACGGCCTCCCCTCCGACTCCGCCGCAGGCCCACACCGCGTGGTCCAAGTCTCCCTGCTCGCACCCACACCACGGGCAGCGTCCGGAGTCGCCGCCGAAGGTGGACATGATGGAAGCTGCCAGCGGGAAGACCACCGCTCCCGTCAGCACTCACAGCTGCTGCCTGTCTTCCTGACAGAGGGTTTGCACGGCCTTGGTGCGCTTTTCATCGTAGCTCGCCAGGCCCCGTTCCGCGGCCCTGACCGCGACCATCTCGTGCCTGTCCGAGATGATCGTCTCCACGTGCATCTCACACCGCCACGCCTCGCGCGGCATGTGGCCCAGCAGCCGCGGATTTTTCCAATCGGGCGATTGCGCGTCCAGCGAGAGCGTGCTGTCCTGGATGCTCACGTGCCTCCAGCTCTAGGGCGGCGCCTCCTGGCGCAGACACCCCGTCCAGGCGAGGTGTCGCTGCAAGCCTGCCGCCGTCCCTGTCGTGCCGGCGCGCCTCCAGGGCACGTGGGCGAGGGCACCTCTCGCACGGGGCTGCCTCTCCACCCTGGCGCAGGCGAGGAGCGTGTCGTGCTGGGCTCTGAACTTCGATGCCCTAGCGCCAGGCGCCGGCGCGGTACGATCGAGAACAAGGGGGTCTTGCCTTAAGTCGGGCCTGTCCCTCTACAGGAGGGATATTCAGAGATAGTTGAAAAATAGTCCCGAGACGTTTTTTTGACAATTTTTGAACATTTCTGGAGCATTTCTGGAGCATGCTTAATTTTTCGCCCACAATCCGCCTGTAGGGGGACAGGCCCGATCGAAGTCTTGCCGATCTGTGCCATGGCCCAGGCGGCCTTTGTGGCGTCGTCGCAGGGCGGGGCCTGCTCCATCCAGCCAGAGCAGTCCTCGGCCAGGCGGCCGGCCTGCGCCACTCTGATCCTCTCCGGCCTCTGCGTTGGCAACCTGGCCGCGGGCGCCAGCTGCTCGTGTTAAGTCGGGCCTGTCCCTTACAGGGGAATTGTGGGCGAAAAATTCAAGATGTTCCAAAAATACTTCAAAATGGTGTTTAGAAAACCAATTTAAAACATAGTCCCCAGACTACTTTTGACTATGTTTTAATCGTCCTCCTGTAGATGGACAGGCCCGACTTAATTTAATGCTCGTGCGAGTCCTGCAACCTCTTCTTCTCCTTGCGGGAGATGGCCCGGTGGACGCCCCTAGTGACCTTGCTGCCCAGCACGTCCGCGGCGAGGAACACCTCGGTAGAATCACTGTGCCACTCTGACGCAGCCTCCGCCTGCTATGCGTGGTCTTGTGGAGCCTGCAGGTCTCGCCTGCAATCTCCTTGAAGCCGAAGACATGGGAGGCCAGGTCCTACTCGGCGCCTGCCTGCAACGCGGTGGACGGCGTCGAGCTTGTCCACGTCCTATCGTCGACGCACAGTCGGGTCTGCACCTTGGGGCAGCGTTCCTTGACCTTCCTCAGCGGCGCCAGGAGGATGGCTGAGAGAGCGATCGGCGAGAACGGACCGCCCTGCAAGAGGCTCGAGGTGACCTCCTGCCTGTCGGGGTGGACCGCCCTGCCGAGCTGGAGCCACCTCTCCTGGTGCTGCCAGACCTCCGCCAGCAGGCCATTGATGCCACCTGTGAGCCTCAGGATGTCGAGTGCTGCCTCCGCCACCTGCGGGAACGTGCGGTCGAAGGGGAGCGCGTAGCCCCTGGAGCGCAGGAAGCTGTCCTGCGCCACCTGTCCAGACGCCCATGCCACTCCCTCCGCCGCCATGGCCTGGCGGCGGCAGCCGAGCATGTCGTCGTCCCACCACTTGTCGATCCACCGGGCGCAGGCCCCCGATCTGAATCGGGAGCTGGCCCACAATCAGTACCCTGCGCTCGTCCCTGCGATGGGCCTCAGCGCCTCCACGGCGATGGCCCCGCCAGCAGCGTCGATGTCCATCTTGGGGATGTGTGCCTGCCGGATGCTCCTCCAGGCTGTGGGGACCTTGCCGTGGCCTTCGAAGGTGCTGTAGAGGTCTTGGCATCGCTCGGACGTGTGCATTTTTCCTCGGCGAGAACCATCGAGGACCATCCTTGTACCATCGAGCAAAAAAACACGCACGAAACCGAAAAATGCACGGGAAATGGACGTCCGAGCGACGGCAAGAGATGCTCCACGGCCTCCAGCAGGAAGTCCGCGGCCTCCAACCCGTCGCCCGTCCAGCCGTCGGGGCCCGCCGAAGAGCCTCGCAGTTTGCGCAGCGTGTCCCTGAGATCGAAGACGTCGAGGTCGGGCCAACGGCCCTCGTCGAAGCGAGGGAGGTTGGCCTCCAGGTGCGCCGTCCAGGCGCCAGGCTCCGGGCAGGCCTGGTCCCAGACCCGCGCCACTCCTCCCAGAGCCCGTCGAGCGCCTCGCCCGTGCTCCTGGAGATCCCCCCTGCGCCCGCCTTCGCGGCCGGCGCCGGCGGCAGCACGCCTCGGGTCTTGCATGTCGTCCACCCACACTTGTTGAGGCGCTGTCGCTTGTCCGCCTCCTGGTGTGTAGTCAGCAGCCTCTCGTGGTCGTGGATCAGCCCCTGCACCCTCTGCAGCCTGCTGACCAGTGGCTGTGCCTGCTGCTCCTGGAGCCGCAGTGCTGCAGCTCGGTCTATCCTGATCCTCAGCTCCCCAGCCTCGCTGGTGCTGCTCCTCCCGTGGCTCTCGAGCCAGTGCAGCCTCCTGAGCCGGCCTAGGGTCTTTGCCACACGGCGCTGCCGGCAGCTGCCCGCTGCCGCTGCTTGCCGAGCGGGCCAGTCCACCTGGATGCATGCCGCTCCCTTCCTCAAGGCGGCCCTCTGCCCAGCCCTCACGGGGACCGCGCGGCGAGGAGGCCGCTCGTAGCTGAGAGGGGCTCCCCTATAGTCTACCGGGGCCCACCTTTCCTCCACCTTCTGCGTCAGGTCGGCGTCACCGTCGTCGTCGGCGTCCTGGGTGAAGCCAGGCATCGCCAAAGACTCCGCCGGTTCCCTCATGGTGTCCTCCACCGCGTTGGTGAAGTCCTTCCACGGCTTGTCAATCCAGCCTTGCACCTGCAGGTCACCCGACTCGAAGGGACAGCGCAGCCCTTGCCAATGCTGATCGTGTCGGTCATTCCAGAAGCGCTCCGTGACCTCGACACAGGTGTCCTGGGGTACTCCTGATGGTCTCCCCAGGTGCTGCGTGGGCATGAACCTGCCGCATCCGGGGCACCGCACGTCCATGTCGATGATCTTGTCATCATACAGTTTGTGGTCACCAAAAGCTGCACGAGCAACGTCCACACCGTAGGTGAACCCATGGTCGATACAGCGCTGCGCGTCGTACCTGGTGGGAACCATTCGCCTCCTCGATCGCGTACTCCCACCTGGGTCGTCCATGCGGGCGGCTTCATCAGGCGGGGCAGCTTGTTCCAGTCCCCGAGGGCCATCCAGCGCCTGGCAAAGTCGATGGCCAGGTCGTCGGCGATGCCGTTGATGGCTGCCTGTAGGTTGGCCAGGGGCGGGACGTGGCAGTGGACCCACACCACGCCACTGGCCTCGACGGCCAGCACTTGCCCTCCTTGGCCGGCTCTGCCCCAGAGCAGCCGCTGACAGAGTCGGGAGGAGACGCGCGTGATCACTCCTCCCCACCCGCCGTCCTGCCTGCGCTGACTGGCAGCCTGGTAGGCGCGGTAGCCTCTCCTGGCCAGAGAGTGTCGCAGCCTCCGGAAGTCATCGAGCGAGTGGCTGGTCTCCTGTATGAAGACCAGGTCGATGCTCTCCGCCCTGGCCCATGGCCGCCTCCACCGCCGTCCTCGCAGCAGCGCGCTTGGCAACGTAGACGCACCAGAGCCTGAGGTCGCTGTTCCTGTCGCTCCGGGCCCCGTGCCTGGGGCCATTGCCTTTGTTTTGCCCTGGCGTCTCCTCCTCTCATGGAGCCTCGCTGGTCGTCGTCGGCTGTCACTCCGACGGCCGTTCCCCAGTATTCCGAGTCGGTTCCAGCCGTGGCGACAAGGTGGCCATTGGAGGGGCCAACCCCTTGCTTCAGCAGCTGTGCCTCTCCCTCGTATGCTGCGGCATGCGCGTGTGGAGGGAGGGCAGGAGCTGTCCGCCCCCTGTCCGTGGGGCTGGCCTTGGGCCGGCAGCCCAAAGGCCGGCCGTGCCGTTCGAGAGATCGGCGGGTGGCTGCCGGCAGGTGCTGGGGCGTCGGTCTCCTGCGCTGCTGCCTTCTCCTCCCTCTGCCTCCTCTTCCTCTCCTCCCTCTGCCTCTTATGCGGTCCATGACGGCGGAGTCGTGCTCGGCGACGTCGTGGTACCTCTTCAGGTTCCTCTTGCTCGCATTCTCTCCCGCAAGCCACCTCGGCTCCTCTCCAGCTTTGGCGGCCCTCTCATCCTCAAACTTCTGCGCCTTGTGCGTGGCGCGCGTGCGTTCCTTCTGTGCCTCAGCCTCCTTGGCATGCACCGTGGTCCTGTGCTCCCTCACGCCGACCTCCCTCTGCGTTCTGTTGAGGAAGTTGAGGTACCAGGCGTCACACGAAGGGCACTTCTTCACCATGAGCTCGCTGGGCGTGGGCACGCCCTCAGGGAGCTGGAGCTTCTCGCGGGTCGCCTGCTCCGTGGCCGGCTTGATTTCCGTGGCCTGTTCCCTCTTCCAGCTGAACACCTCCCGCTGCTTCCCGCTGTGGCAAGTCCTGATGTGTTTCTGGATGCGACCCTGGAGGCGCTATATAGCCAGGGTGTGCTCGTCGAGCTCGGGGGCCTTTCCTTTCTGCTGGCCGTGGCCGTCCACTGGCTCGAGACCTCACTCCTCTTGCCGTCGATCACCTGCTGGCAGCCTGGCACAGGACAGGTCCAGGCCACGGTTGCAGACGTACTGCCGAGGCGGTACGGCATCGCTGCGAGCTCGGTGCTGCGCGCCCTCCGGTCGGCGCAGCCCCGCGCATGTGCCGCCCTGCGCTGACTGTGGGTTGATATCGCCATGGCGCCCGCTCCAGCCTGGGTAATGGCCTGGGGCTCTACCGGCGGCCCCTGCAGACCGGTGTCGATCGGGACCGTGGGGGAGATGGAGTCGAGGTCGTCGCCGACGTCCTCGCCCAGCCCGTCCTGCTCGGGGATCGTAGGCAGGGCGCCTTTGGTGGTGGTGTCGGCGTCGGCTGTCCGTGAACTCTTCCTCGTCTTCCTGCTAGTGGACGCTCCGGGGTCAGCTGGGGCACTGCGCTTCTCTCTGCTCCTACTGCTGGCTGAGCCTACCGCTGGCAACACTCACCTTGGACCAGCTGCTGAGGCCATCCTTGCCGATGGAGGCCGCGTGCGAGCCCAGTGGGGACTCACATGGCGCCTCGTCGGAACTCCTCCAGGGCTTGGGCGGGGAGGCCCGAATCCCCGTCTCGAACCACAAAGATCCTCGATCTGAAGGTGGTGCGTCTGCCTTGCTGTCCGGCGCCGCTGTTGCCGCCGCTGCCGCCGCTGCCCCGCCGCCCAGGGAGGAGGTCGAGGTGAGGCTGACCGCGCACCAGCTGCCAAGACCATCGTCGTCATCAGCCCGTCCCGCTCCGCGAAGAAGGGCTGGTGCATGTTGTTCCTTGGGAGGCTCCGCCCAAGCCATGTGCCAAGCAGTTTCCGTGCCATTTTTTGTGTATGGCCACGTAATGTCCACCTTTCAGAAGTGCTGGCACCGGCGGGGCTGCCATTGTCTTGGCACGGAGCTTCGCTCGCTTTCCTGTGAGTCCATCAGGGGGGTTAATCACCAGCCCTTCACTCAGGCATCGTTCTGGTGCACAACCTAACGAGTCACCGCGCCATTCTAAGAGATAGGCCGCGGCGGCACATTCATCAACCCACCTGGTCTGCCATGCACAGGCTGACACCCATTCCGCCCACGTGGTTGGTACGGGCCCCATCTCCAGGGTCGTGTTCGTGGCGGGATCCTCGACCCAGCTGTCCTTCCAGATCTCGCCTTCCCTGCCGTCTCCGCACAGAGTTTGGCCGCAAAGTTGACGATGTTCTTGGCCACATCGTCGACTTTCCTGCCTTCCTGTACCGCCACCATTGCCCCAACTGCACGGTAGAAGCAGTCGCCTGTTCCACCCAAGTTCCAGATGCGGTATCCCATGGCCTTTGTGGGGAAGAACTTGCTCTTCTTGGAGGCCGGCTCCTCCTCCTCATGAGAGTTGCCGTCGATGTCCATGGTTGCTGCGCCTTTGCCGGGCTGCTGGCCCTCGGTCGCCGCTGTCTGTGACTGTGCCCTAACAGCGCCGGGATAGCGCCAGGGTTCCTTGGCCTTTGCTGCCTGCTTCCTCTTCTCCTCACTCTCCTGCAGGTCCTTGCGGATGCCGACGGGCCTGGGTGCGAGGGGCTTCAGCGTCAGGCCCTCCTGGCGCCGGACGTCCCGAACCACCTGGATGGTCGCGCAATCGGGCAGGCCCAGGACGTGCTGTGCCTTGGCCTGGGGCGGCGCCTTCACGCGCACCACCCAGCCTTTTCCTCCCCATCGCGGCCGCACCAACTCGAGGGCAACGTATGGGGGGAACCTTGTTGGAACACCTCTCGGGGCCATCTTGACGCAATGTGCATATATTCCTGAGCCCTCTTCGGCCATCCTCTGGAGCCTGCTCACGGCAAGTCGTGGAGCCCTCTCGGGCCTTCGTTTTTTCTCGGGGCGCTGCCCGGGAGTCTCTCAAGTGCACTTTTGGACCATCTTCGGTCATTCGTGGGATGTTTTTCCGAAACATCTTTTGCCCCGCCCTGGGGTTGATTTTGGCCCTGTGCGAGCCTGTCTTTACTTATTTGGACGCCCGCGTGATCTTTTAACAGTGCCCTTCGGAGTTTGCTTGGGGCGCTCTTTGGGGTCTTGGTGCCACGTCTTGTCTGAAATCGTTTCTGTCCGGTCCACATTTCCTATGGTTGTTGCATGTTGGAATCTCCTGCCGTTTGGTGTGTGCGTGAGTATTTGCACGCAGTTGTGGGATTGTTAAAGCGCTGGAACTGGTTAGAACTTCGGCGCGCGCAAAACGCGCGTGTATCTTTAGTGCGGCTATATTTATATACAGTATTTGGTCCGACGGGGTGCTTCCTAGTTTTTCCAGAGGGTCCATTCCGAAACAGAAATCTGAATAGGGGGAAACGAATGAGGAAAAAAATGGGAAAAGGCAGGGGCAGACCATGTGGAGGCAGTGCAGGAAAAGGAGGCAATCACAGGCATTCACGTTTGAATCACACTTTGTTTGCGCAGCGTCTGATTGAAACAAACTTGATTGAAACAGCCTGGAATCCAACCTCTGCCCTTTTTTTGGAGATGCACGATGATTGCGGAATCCGGAGTACAAGGTTTTACGACACTGATCATTTTACATTTATGTTTTTCAATTTTTTTGCACCAAACCATCGACGAAGTCACACATGAGCAGGATCGCCACTGAAGGGGGGGCCACTTGTAGACACGCCCGCCAAGACATGCAGGACATGGGGCGGCGTCCCCTTGCCCCCGTTAACCCGCCCCCTTCTTCCTGAGGCCAATGCGGCCACTCCCTCGCGTCGTCTCGCCTCGCTTCGCCCTGCCCCCCCAATCCCCACGAGGTGCTGATCATCGAGCAGGTCAACCGTTCCGCGGCGCGGGGCGGATTTGCGGCGACCAGCGGCGACCGCGAGCGGCGGCGGACGACGACGACGACGAGATGGGCGATCGGCGGCCAGCGGTCTGTGGCGGCGCACCACGGCGCGTGGCAACGACGACGGCCGCGGCGGCGGCTGCGCGCGGCGGCGGCGGCGACGGGGAGGGTTGCGACGGGCACAAGAGCCAACCTCTACGTGTGGCACCGGCCCTACGCGTCGCATCGACCGATTCGGCTACGTCCCCCTCCCCGCAAGTGCACACCCGCTGCCCGCCCGGGGGCTACTTTCGATCGTTTGAGCTACGTCCGCGAGCGGCCCGACCTCCCACCTAGCAGCAATGACGATAGTGATAGCAAATTATCCCAGTGCGACCCTACCTAGGAGTTGGAGCCTCTAGGAAAACAACATTAGTAGGAGCGGTAAACGCCGTCCTCCTCCTTCTCCTCATCGTCGTAGTTGTAGCAATAGCGGTAGTAGATGCTATGCTGAGCTATGCTATGCCATGCTATGCTATGCTATGTTGCGCAATGCTATGCTGGGCTAGGCTAGACTAGGCTATGCTATGCTATGCTATGCTATGCTGCGCAATGCTATGCTGGGCTAGGCTATGCTATGCTATGCTCTGCTATGCTGCGCAATGCTATGCTGGGCTAGGCTAGGCTAGGCTAGGCTTTGCTATGCTGCGCTATGCTATGATGTGCTGTGCTATGCTATGCTATGCTATGCTTTTGCTTTGCCTTCGCTTTTGCCTTCACTTTTGCCTTTGCTTTTTTTTTGCTTGGCACCCAGGGAGCGCAACTGGGGGAACCGCGCGTTTGCTTTTACCAGTGCTGTTGCTTTTGCTTGGCTCCCAGGGGACCGGGGGAACCGCCCGGGGCGGGTTACACTGCCCGGCCCCTTTAAGCCAACAGAGTAAGAACCTTTCTAGGCAGAGCCTAGGTAGGGAACAAGAGTAGAAAGTACGCGAGCGATCCCAGCGACCTGTGATCAAGTGCAGCCGCTGCGCAGCGCTGGGGCAGAAGTCAGGATGTCGCCCTGGAGGCTCGCGCACTCTAGTTCGACGAGAGCAGCGACGGTTACAACGACGACGACGTCGACGGCGACGGCCGCGACGACGAAGGCGGACGACGACGGCGGCCCGATGGGAGGTCAGCACCTCCGAGGTGCGCCAGCGAGGCGCCGCATCGCTGGTGCCATCGGGATACCTTTGCTGCACGGTGGAGGAGATCGCCCTGGTCGCCATGGGAAGCTCCCAGGATATCGCTTCCGAGCGACGACCTCAGCCATATCCATGCCCTCGCGGTTTGGACGCCGATGCGCGACTCCGTGGATACGCGACCCATGGGATCGCAGCCGACAAGTCCATACCGTGAGGCCATCGATATGGACATGTTTCCCGCTCAAGCATCGCAGCCAGGCTCGGCGATCGACGCTTGATGCAAACCCTTACTGCTGCTTCCGTCTCTGACACCAAAGGAGTAGCGTGTGGATAATAGGAATTTTGCCCTCGGAGACCAGATCTTTCTATCAGTGATTCCATGTGAGCCCCTGGTTTGGCTGAGGCGCCAGCAGGGGTATTGAAAAACGTCGATGGCCCACAGGAGGAGCAGGAGGTGCCGGGAGGGAGGGAGGGCGGCGCTTGAGATGTGGTCAGTACTTGGAGGCTTCACGGTAGGGGGTCTGGGGGTGTTTGCACGCCTGGGCGTGCCCTTGCAAGATGCGGGGCATATCTGAGGCCGCGGCCTGCGAGACGAGGCGCAGGGCCAGGACATCGTCACTGAGCGGGGCAGCCGCTGCTGCATGGGCGTCCCTTCGGGGGCACCTGGCCCAGTTCCTCTTCCTTTTCACCCTACTTGTTTTTACCTTTTCCCCCCGCCCGCTGCCAGGTGCTCCCTGCGCTTCAAGTGGCTCTGCCGGCGTCCGTGCTCCCCCGACGCCCCGCTGCTGCCCGCTTGGCCAGCTCCTCCAGCCTGGCGCGCCACTCGGCCCAGCCCCTCGAGTGCCACCCTTGCCACCCTGGCCCTGGCACCGCGCCGCCCTGGCGCGCGGGCCCGTGTCCCGGCACCCGCACGAGCCTTTTGGCGTCAATTTTGCCGCCCCCCAGTGCAGTCACCACTTGGTTGCTGTGACGCGGCTGCCGCGCTAGTGCAGTGGACACCGCACAGTCGATGCACCCGGTGGGTTCAGCATTTTGCTGATGGCAGTCCTCGGACTCCAGTATTGGCTTTGGCTTTATTTGATCTGCACCGTTCTGCCTCCTGGCAGCGCCCGCGGGTGCGCCCTGGCCCTGGCCCCAGCTGCTGCCGCGGACCCCGCTGCCCTGGCTGGCCACTCCAGGTCGCTCACCGCGGAACTCTCTTCCACATCAGAGCGCCCTCCCCTTCCATCCTTCCCTCGTCTTCGCCTCTCTCTCTTGCACGCCGGACAATTTGCCTATCGGTTGCCCCGATATGTTGGTGCGGATTGCCTCCGGCGAAAAATTGTCTTTCTCTCTTTTCCCTCAACTGCAACCTCCTACTTCGTCACTCCCCCATCCTCTCGTCTCCTTCTCCCTCCACTCTCCCCTCGCTTTCATCCGCGGCCAAGAGTCTACTTGAGGATGGCGAATGCTTCTTCAGGGTCCTGGGGCGCATGATTGTCGCCAGGATCTCGAGGCGAACCTGGCCGAGGCGAAGAGGCCACCCGAGGAGGGTCGGAGAAGGCGACCAATGGCGCAATTTACCGCCTCCGCCCTGAATAGGCCTTTGGTTTCGCGCATGCGGCTCCTGGAGACAGCCCAGGCTGGCCTCAACTCAACATATTTTGTTGTCCCCCGAGCGTCCCACCCTCCACGGGGGAAGCAGCTGCCGAGCCCTGCCTGGAGGAAACAGTCGTCGGCAATCAGAGGCCCGGCCCACCTCTGCCGACGGCACCATCCGGTCAAGCAGGCGCCAGGGCACCCTTCGTCGCGCATGTGCTCGCAGTTGAGCTGTGGACAGCAAGCCACGTGCACTGAGTTTTGGAGGACAAGCTGCGTGGCCTCAACAGACACACTCGAACTTCACAAAAGGTGCATGTGGAAGTCATCGCCTGAGGACGCCGCCCCTGTCCTCTTGCGCCAGACCTCTGGGGAGGCCTCCAGGGTCCCCCGGAATGGAGAACCCCGCGGAGTTCCCAGAGGCACCCAATAATATTCATAATAAGGGGCATTTGTCTAGATTACATTTTGTGGGGGGATATGTTTGCTGTTCAAAATGTAATCATATATTTCTGGAACGCGCGTATTCATATATTTCGGGAGGGTTTGTATCACTTCATCATGCCAGAAGCATTGGAAGTGTGACGGAATCGGTAGAACCAGTGGTTTTGTCGAGAAATCATGGGTTGGGGTGTAATGATTTCAATTTCACATCATTCTGGGGAAACGGAGGACAATTACATTGCTGATTTGGCTGCTGGTCTCTGCCCACAGAGACATCTGAAGGCCCCAAAGGAGCAAGAGTTGTCCGAGATTCTCCGCCCTCGATCCCTGGATCCCTGGATCGACTGGCTAATGGTCAGAGGAGGCTGGAAGATCAGGAGGGGGGTCGCGGCCATGGGAGGAAGTACCTCCATATCCATTCCGTTTTCGGTTCGAAATGCGTTAATGGGGCAGCAGAGGGATGGGATAAGCAAGGGTGGCAGTGCTTTTTGATCTTGTCGCGTTCATTCGTCTGCAAGCGTCTGAGCGCGTGGGAATTCATAAGCGTGCGTGTAGTGCCCAGGACCGCCCTGTGAGCTTCTTGTGGAAGAAGAAGTACACGGACGTGGAGAGGATCTTCAGGTGCTACGGATCGCAGGCCATCGTGTTCGTCTTCAAGGATGGGCGATCAAGCAGGTTGTCGAAGTTGGCGTTCTACCGAGATGACGTGCGTGATGAGGTCATCGCGCACGTGGAGAGGATGCGAGCGGACGTGGGCGAAGGGAGTGGTGACGGCTTTCAATTCGTCATCAATGCGACGGGGATGAAGAAGGAGATTAAGAATCATGTTGAGGATGCAAAAGTCGTTGCGGCCACCATCACGGGCGGCGGACCTGAGCAGCCTGGGGAGACCATGCTTTGGACGTTGTCGGTGCCCGTGACGTGCCTGATGAACCAGCCGTTGGATGACGAAAGCCATCGGAGCAAGGAGAAGCGGCACCACCACGGCCACCTTCGGCGAGGAGATCCACGATGCCTTCCAAAGGCGGAGGTTGGAGATGTCTTGAGCTGGACGCCGAAAATAGACGACACCGCACCACAGCGAGGACCCCACTTTGCCCCTTGACTTGTGGTGGTGTCGTCTTTCTTTGCTTGAAAGAAGGGGTCGAGCCAAAGCGAAAACCCGAAAACGATACTGAAGGTGGTGCCGATCCAGGGTCTCCGGGTCGGGGACCGCATCTTGATATCGTCGGGATCCCAGAGCGTGACCCGACACATCATGTCCTTTCGCAAGGTCATTTTGGAAGAGCCCTTGACCAAGTCGCAGGCGTTGATCGAGGGTGAGGATCGCCATGAAGACAAGGGAGGGAAAGGGGTCTTAAGGTTTCTCACAGTCTTCGGCATCCTTGGGCCCTCCCCAGGCCCTGGGACTGTCAAGAGATCGCCAAATTGGCTCTGGGGGAAGCCACGGGATTTTGGAACCCGTTGCGTTTAGAGCCCCTTTCCTTCACGGCATTGCGAGGAGTTCGAGGCCAAGAGCGGATTTATGGGTAACATCAAGGTCAAGGGGAAATTGACGAGCGACTCGCATCCAAAAGGTCAAGAAGGAGACTCTAACGAGCTGTGCATCAAAATTGAAGACTTTGAAGCGAAGAAGCCAGACGCGTTCAAGGATCCCAAGAAGCGCGACAACAAGTCTTGGTCCGAGTTCACTTCGGGCGTCAAGCTCTCCTTCAAAGGCGGGGAGATACTGGTGAAGGTCAAGTTCTTCGACGAGCTCGTGGTGGATCGGCTCACAGATCAAGCGGGCGTCAGGCTCTCCTTCCCCGCAGACGCTCGCGTGATCAAGCTAGAAGGACGGATGGACAGGTACAGGCTCATATTGGACTCGTGGCAGCCTCCGGACAACCTGCCCGAGACCGAGGAGGACAACCCCCAGGAGTATTTCGGGGTGGAGATCTTCCCTGCGAAGATCAAGAGGCGATACGAGGACGCGAAGAAGAAGAGGGACGAGGAGAAGGCTCAGGCCCAGCAGAAGAGCGCCGTCGACAAGGTGAGGGACCAGATGGCGGTTGCCTTTGTCAAGGAGGAGACGCCGGTCCTGACCCACCTGGGCACCCACATCTTGCCCCCCAAGCAGGTCATCTTCGAGCACGGGCCGGAGCCAGAGTTGACGCTGGCTTTTGCGGACACCCAGGACGGCAGCGTCACACGGACGACGATACACTTCCTCGACGACGCAGGACGCGAGCGGTGGCGACAGGCTTTGGCGTGGTTCATCTCCAAGTTGGGTTCCGGCTGGCGGCGAGAGGAATAGCACAGGCAGGCTTAGGATGGTCATAAATCGTTCCAGAGCGATCCTGAATGGTTTGAGAGCTTTCTTGAGCTCTGTGGAACGGCCACGGCGCCTGATAATTGCTTCTGGACCTAGAAGCTCTCGGAGATCGCGGGTCATACCTTTCCTATTTTGTCTTCGTCCAGCCTCTGTCTCCGCAGTTTCCCAGAGGCACACTTACGAGCTGGGCAAAGCATCCCAGCGTATTGTCTCTGGAGGTTCGAGACCAGAATTCAGACATATCCACCACCAAGGGAACCGGTGCCCCCTGGCCCTAGGATGCAGCGCGGGTGGAGATCTTTCGGCCCCTCAGGGGCCAGATGAGTGTCCTCATCCGCCGCCTCCTGGGGTCCTGGGCCATCGGTTCCTCAGGCGCCGGATACGTATTTAGTCTGGCCTCGGAGGAGGAGGCGGACTGCGGTGGCGTCTGTCCGCGCCGCGACCAGCAGGTTCCCCTCTCCGAGGACCTCGAGATCACGCCCGCCGACGGCGCTCTCGACGGGCGCCAGCCCCGAACCAGGACGTGAAGCCGCCCGCGCGCCCGAAGCCCTCCCGATGCCCCAGGTATCCGGCAGTTCGGTCGACCCAGGCATTTGGCGGCTCGGCCTGTTTCACGAGCGGCGAACGTTGGAGCCGGCTGGGGTCTGAGGTGGCAGTATTGGTTCTGTCGAACAGAACGGGCGGGCAATGTTCGAGGTTCTGAGTTCGGGGAGTGTTCTCTTCTGGTTTTTATTCTGCCTCAGGGGGCCGCCGAAAACGGATCTGGGGTAAAGAACTGGTCCAGGTGGACCCCGGGAGGGACCGGATTTGGCTTCACCTCCCCCCGTCTGGCCGGTCTTCGGGGGGTTCGACCAGTTCAGACCCCCCGGTCGCCTCCCAGGCGAACGTTCCCATATCCATGCTCTCACGGTCTGGACTGCGAGGCTCGATCCCATGGATGCGTCCCGCGCGGGGCATCCGCGCAACGGCGCAGGGTCACCATGTATCCACGAGCTCGCGGCCGAGGAGTCGGACCGCGAGGCCGTGAGTGTGGAACTGTTTGCCGCCCTCCATTGCCCGAGACGTGCCTATTCGGCTGCTGAGCCCACTCGGCCTCCGAGTGGGCTCGGTATTCGAGCCCATGCGGCGGCTGAACGGGCTCAATTTTCTCGACCGTTGGGTTACCCACTTGATGGCCGAACGGATTCTGATGCCGAACGTGTTTGGAAGAAACCCTGGGTGGACCCCGGATGACCTTCTGGTCCCTCCAGGGTCCGATCGATCCGATTCTTCTGTATCGACTTCGGCCACCCCGATCCCCTTCGATGCCGACTTCACAGGATCCCATGCGCCCGGATGTTCGCACGGCTTTGTTGCACATCCGGCCGCGGCCGACCCGATCCGATGTTGGTGCCGTGCCGATGCGGCCCGATCCGACGCACGTTCCGTCTCGCTCCGATTTGCCGATCCGATGGCTCGAGTCCTCCTGCCACCTCCCCTGGGAGGCCAGCGTTTCGCTGCAGGGGCCGCGCTCAAATATATCCTGGCGAAGGGCCCAACCATGTGCAGTTGTGATCATCGCCATTGTGGGTATCTATCGCAGTCGGTGGAGCTCCTTCTGGGGCCATGGAACGTGTGAAGGGTGTGCCGAAATGGAGCGGGGCTACCATGCATGCGGGCACTTGCTACTGGGGCCGTAGGTATACCCCCTCCCTATGGGGCCACGAAGCGTGTGAGGGGTGTGCCGACATGGGGCGGGGACGCCATGCGGACGCTACCACTGGGGCCTTCGTTGGAGCTCCCTATGGTGCCACGCAATGAAACGGGCGACGGGTGTGCTGAAATCGGGCGGGGGGGGGCGTAGACCAGCGTCGCGCCGCTGGGGCCTTCGGTGGAGCGCCTTATGGGGCCAAGAAGCGCGAGTTCCCTATGGGGCCACGAAGCGCGTGAGGGACGTGCCGAAATGGGGGGGGGCACTGCAACGTCGCCACTGGGGCCTTCGGTGGAGCTTCCTATGGAGGGGGAGGGCCACGAAACGTGTGAGGGGACGCATGCGAACGTCGCCACTGGGGCCTTCGGTGTAGCTTCCTTTCGGGCCACGACGAAGCGGTGTACTGGGCGGGGCGGACGCATGCGAACGTCGCACTTGGGGCTTTCGGTGGAGCTCCCTATGGGGCCACGAGACGTGTGAGGGGTGTGCCGAAATTGGTGGCGGGGACGCATGCGAGCATCACCGGGGGGGTCTTTCGGTGGAGCTCCCTATGGGGCCACGAAACACGTGAGGGGTGTGCCGAAATGGGGGGGGGCAGTCGAACGTCGCCACCGCGGCGTTCGGTGGAGCGCCTTATGGGGCCATGAAGCGTGCGAGGATTATCCCGAGTCGGGTGCGGGGACGCATGCGAATACCGCCATTGGGGCCTTCGGCCTTCGGGGGAGCTTCCCGCTGGGGCCACGAAACCTGTGCCGAACCGCGTGCGGGGACGCATGCGATCACCGCCACTTGGGCCTTCGGTGGAGCTCCCCTATGGGGCCACGAGACGTGTGAGGGGTGTCACACGTCTCACACGCCGAAGTGGGTGGCGAAATGGGCGGCGTGGACGCATACGAACGTCGCAATCGAGGCTATCGGTGGAGCTCCCAGTGGGGCCACGAAGCGTTTGATGGGGTGTGCTGAATCGGGTGTGGGGACGCATGCGAACACATGGCAATGGGTCCTTCGGTGGAGCTCCCTATGGGGCCACAATACGTGTGAGGAGTGTGCCAACACCGGAGGGAGGAGGGGCAGGAGGGAGGAAGGGGGGGAGGAGGGGAGTTGTGAGGAGAGGAGAGGGACGCGGGGATGGTTGGGGAACAGAGCTGCAGGTCCAGGTCCCGACGCGAACGGTCCCGTGAAACACTCCTGGTCGACCCCGCTTCGGGTGGCCCAAATGCCATGCTTGCTGCACGATCAGTCTGATCATGGAGCTCTGAAAACAGACACCTCTGCCCCCCCAAACGGCGTCCGCCGGCGTCAGACGGGCCAGGAGCCCACCAAGACGGCCGAAGATGGCCCTAAGATGGCCCAAGAGGTCTCCAAGAGGCCTCCAGGAAGGCCCGAAAAGGCCGAAATCATTGATTTCCCATTGGTTTTTTGGAGGATTGTGGCATTTGCTTTTTTTCGCGCCAGAACGAGAATGCCTCCCGAGGGGCCTCCGCCATCCAGGCGCGAACGGGCCAGTGCAACGCCCCTGGTCGCCCCCCCCCCCCCGTGCGAGGCCCAGCTGACCATGAACGATAAATACGGAGCGAAGCCCCTTTTTTCCAAGAAGTCTAGGAATTCCGAAGGAACAACAGAAGGGCTCGCCGCCAAAAAGGTAGCGGAACGCATGGAAGCCAAAAGAACGACCGAGCCCATTTTGACAAGCAAGTGTTCCTTATTCAATCAGGACCCTGTACCGCCGTCCGAGACTGCCATCGCCATGCTTGCCGCATCGCGATGGTCGTGGGGCTCTGAAAAGAAGCACCTGCCTCCCCGACCGCGTTCTTCCCGCGAGATGTGTCCCGCGAGAGGTGACCAATCCTGGCGCGGGCGTGCCCCTGCGACACCCTTCGTCGCCCGGTGCGCCAGAAGAGTGTGCGCGTGGTCTCGGCATAAGCGAGGGAGTCCAAGTCAAGCCACAGCCAGCAAGTCCGTGCCTGAGTGAGCAGGAGCGAGCATGCGCATGTGCATGAGTATGAGTGGGCATGTCAGCAAGTGTGAATCGTGAGTACGAGTGAGTCTGAGTGCGAGTGGGTCTGGGTGTCGGTGATCCCGAGTGGGACCAACTGAGTATTGAGTTTTCGTGGATCTGAGTGCCTGTGTGGCACAAACATGAATAGCCTCGGTATGAGTGAGTCAGAAAGTGGGTGAGCCTGGGTGTGTTGGGTCTGTCAGTGAGCCTGAGTCTGAGTATGGGTGTGTCTGAGTGTGAGTGGGTCTGAGTGCCTGTGGGTCTGAGTCTGAGTGAGTCTGAGTGTGGAAGGAGATAGAAATGACGGAGGAGGAAGAAGTGGTGGTGGAGGCGGCACGCTGATTACAACAACTCCACAGTATGATATTGGGCATAACAGAAAGCGCATTTGGGAGATCCGGGCCCCAGTCCTCTCGCCCCTCTACCTGGGACCAGCCTTTCATCCCGAGCCGTTGTGCATGGCTCCAGGGCCCGAACGACAGTCTTCGGCCGTAAAGTAGGGCTAGAATTTTTGGCCGCCGGCACAAATTCGAATCCTATGCCTTCGCCGATCCACGGTTCAGGCCACTCGATTGGCGGCGGGCGCCGACTGCGTGGCGAGATCCGAAGTCCACTACCGCCGCCCATCGATCAAGGAGAATCGTTGGTTCGTGGGGGGCTCGTGTTCGGATGTCGCTACCTACTTCGACCCCGGTGCCTGGGCCGTTCTGCGCCTCCATCTCTCAGCGGGGGCCCTAAGGGATGGGGAGCTAAGGAAGGGAAGGGATCCGAGGGTGGAGTTACATTTACCAGCCTCGAACGTATCCCTATCCCTAAGATTGACACGCCAAAAGGCGATGACAATCTTAGGGATTCGCCCTCAAAAATAAGGGAATCCCTAGGATTGGCATCGTGATGAGGAGGTGCCCAGCATAGGGATAGGGATATGTTCCAGGCTGGAATACATGGTTTGAGGCAACTCGTCCTTGCAGGGCCCCGCCCCTCAGGACCCCCTCCATGACGAGCCGCACTACTTCGAGCCGGCGAACGTCTTCGTCCCGATCTGCGCGCGAGCGCGGCCCCGTTCGGCTGCGACGCGCGGCATGCGGGCGGGCTCGCGCGCACGCGCACGCTTAGTCCGGCGGAGCCGCGCCGAAGCGCGCCCGCTGCGGAGCCCTTTCCTGGGCCCGGAGTGCTACGTTTAAATCGGGCACGTCCCTCTACAGGAGGAATATTAAAACATAGCTTGAAATAGTCTGGAGACGATGTGTCGATAATTTGTTTTACTTGTTTTGAGCAATTTGTGTGTATGTCTCATGTTTCTCTCAATATTCGCCTGTAGGAGGACATGCTTGACCTAATGCTATATTCGGGGTCGTCCAAGTATCGTCGGCGAGCCTTTGGGGGACGAAAGAAGGGGAGGGCCTTCTCAGAAGGCTCGGAAGGCCTCGGGCCTTTAAGAAGTTTGCTGCGCCTTCCCAGAGGCACAGAAAGTGTCTGGAGCTCCGCCGCCTTCTGAGAAGGCTCCCTTTCATTTCCCCCCCCCCCCCCCTGGCGCGCCGCCGAAAGAAGGGGGTGATGACTTGGAGCCGTTTGGGGGTCTGATGTGGCCCAGCACTGGTTCTGGCCAGCAGGAAGTCCTGGCAGGTTCGAGATTCTGGCTTCGGATTTTTTTCCCCAAGCCTCCTCTGGGCACTCGTTTTTGAATCGAGCACTGCTCGCGCGGCTTCCTCCTTCCTTCCCTCCTCCTTCCTGATTTGTTTTGTTGTTCTCTCTCTTTCTCTCTCTCTCTCTCTCTCCTCTTTTTCAGGCCTCTATTTTTTGTTGTTCTCTCTCTCTCTCTCTCTCCCTCCTTCCTTTTTTGCTGTTGTTTGTGAGTTCTCTCTTTCTCTCTCTCTCTCTCTCTCTCCTCTTGTTTCGATCATCTCCCGTGCCTGCCTCCGACTTCGGCATCCCTGTGGGGCTGCGATCCTCGAAATGGTCGCCACTTTCGAGGACTGCTGGGGAGTCCAACGGAGCGACTTCGTACCTAGACTCAATGTATGCCTCGCCATCCCTGGGGGGCTGCCATCCGCGAAGTTGCCATAATTTTGATGGGTTTTTTGGGTTCCAGCGGAGAGACGTCCTGACCATATTCAAACTAGACCTCGCCATCACTGGGGGGCTGCGTTCTGCGAAGCTCTCGCCACTTTCGAGGGCTGCTGCGGAGTCCCGCGGAATGACGTTTTACCTGGACTCAAATAAGACCTCGCCGTCCCAGGGGGTCTGCAATGTGCGAAATTGTCGCCACTTTCGAGGACTGCTACGAGTCCAGCGGAGCGACGTCTTACCCAGGCTCAAATGAGACCTCGCCGTCCGTGGGGGGCTGCGACCTGCGAAGTTATCGCCACTTTCGAGGGCCGCTCGGGAATCCAGCGAAATGACGTCCTACCCAGACTCAAATTAGATCTCGCCATCCCTGGGGGGCTGCGATCTGCGAACCTGTCGCCATTTTCGAGGACTGCTGGTGAGTTCAGCGGAGTGACGTCTTACCTGAACTCGAATGAGACCACGCCGTCCTTTGGGGGCTGCGATCCTCGAAATGGTCGCCACTTTCGAGGACTGCTGGGGAGTCCAACAGAGTGACTTCCTACCCAGACTCAATTTATGCCTCGCCATCCTTGGGGGGCTGCGATCCGCGAAGTTGCCATACTTTGAAGGGTGTTTGGGGTTCCAGCGGAGAGACGTCTTGACCATATTCAAACTAGACCTTGCCGTCCATGGGAGGCTGCGTTCTGCGAAGCTCTCGCCACTTACGAGGGCTGCTGCGGAGTCCCGCGGAATGACGTTTTACCTGGGCTCAAATTAGCCCTCGCCGTCCCAGGGGGTCTGCAATGTGCGAAATTGTCGCCACTTTCGAGGACTGCTGGAGAGTCCAACGGAGTGACTTCCTACCCAGACTCGAATTGTACCTCGCCGTCCCTGGGGGGCTGCGATCTGCGAAAATGTCACCACTTTCGAGGGCTGCTTGGGAGTCCAGCGGAGTGACGTCTTACCCAGATGCAGACTAGACCTCGCCACCCAGACTCAGGTTTGACCTCGCCGTCCGTGGGGGGCTGCGATATGCGAAACGGTCGCCATTTTCGAGGGCTGTTGGGGTGCCCAGACTCAAGTTTGACCTCGCCGTCCCCAGGCGGCTGCGATCTGCGAAGCTGTCGCCTTTATCGAAGGCTTACGCAGAGTCAGGTTCGACCTCGCCATCCCGGGGGGGAGGCTGCGGTCTGCGAGTCTGTCTCCATTTTCGAGGGTTGATGGGTTGAGGGGCGGCCGCACAGCGGGTGCCCTGCCCAGACTCAGGGTGCACTTCGCGGCGCGCCCGCGCGCCCTCTCCTGCCGCGCCGAACCGTACCGGGAACCAACGCCCCTGCGGCTTGCAGAGCAGCTCGCCCTCGCGCAGTTCCTGGATTGACTACGGCTGAATGCTGGCGTGCTGTTTCTCCTTCCTCTGCCCTTTCCTGGTCGTCGCTTCCTCCCTTCCTTTTGCCATGTTTTCTTGCTGCTGCCCCGCCGATGTTTCAAGATCCCCGTCGCCTTCTCCTCTTAGTCCTCTACCCTCGTTCCCTTCGTGCCAGGGGAATAGCCAATCGCCTTCATCAAGCCTTTGTCAATCGATCGGTGTCCTTCGTGTCGCGCAGCTCGCGAGCCCCCAAGTAGCGCTCGCAGAAAATATACCTCCTCGCCACGCTATCACACCCTATGAAGTCTACCCAGCTATTCTGACCGTGCGTTGTGCAAGGGTTGGGTACATCGTCATGGCATTGTTGTTTTGCCTGTTTGGGCATCCTTTTTCGGACCCCGGGACCGTGAATAATCAATCCGGGTTGAAAAACGGAACCAGATGGACCCCATGAGGGGTTTGAGGATTGGGGTTTGAGGATGGATTTTGAGCGGATTTGGTTTCGCCCCCCCTCGTGGCAGATTTTCTGCATCCAAACCAGTTCAGACCTCCCACCCGCCACCAACATTCGGCGGCGTCTAAGAAGAGGGTGATGTCTAGCGGGCGTGCACAGCATGGCTTGGGCCATGGGGTATCCCTGGATTTCATGGCCCCCGCTTCTTCTTTCCATGCGTCTTTGGCCCCCCCCCTCCCCCCCCCCTCCCCCCCCCCTCCCCCCCGCCCCCCCCCCCTCTCACTCGTCCACGCACATGCTTTGGGCCAGGGTTTGCGAACCCCCCTCTTGGACACTCCCTGGACGCCCCCGAGTCCTCATAGGCTGCCAAGATGGGCTCCGAGCTGACAGGGTCGGAGGATCGCGCCCCATCGCCGATGCATCGGTGATGCGGCGCCCGATGTTTTTCACGCCGACGTCGCCGATGCGTCGCCGCCGACGTCGCCGATGCGTCGCCGATGCATCTCCGATGCAGTCGCCATGCGGCGCGATCCTCCGACCCCATCTACTCGGAACCCACCTGGGAGGCTTCTTCAGTGGGCGAAACACATCCGTATCCGCTGCCTCGCGGGCCCCGGCTCTTGGGGCAGTGACCCCGCGGATATGTGTCGTGTTGTTGTTCGCGGATGTTCCGCGCGGAACGCATCCGTGCGACAGCGTATCCGCGGGACCGCGCCTCGGAATTCAGATCGCGAGGCCGTGGATACGCTCGTCGCATAATGCAGCAGGACAGCGCCTGTTTTATGCATCGACCCGTCCATTGAGTACGCACCTGGGTTGCGCTTGCCGGGAACCGATCTTCCAGCTTTCTTGAGATCGAGGACCACGTGCATTGCATTTTTTGTGCGCCATTGCGCTTTCGTGTGGTGTTTTGCCCCAGGTTTTCGCGCGGGTCGATCTGGCTCGAGAAGTACAGCAGAAATATTTGGTCAAGTGGTGGCTTTTGTTTGTGACATTGCATGCATGCATAATGTTGGATCCCAGGGCTTTTGATAGGCAGTGGACACGGATTTATGCGGGCGGGCGGGAGGGGGCCAGAGATGATGCGTATCCATGTCCACTGCCTGCCGGGATCCCAGGCAGTTGGTTCCCGAAGCGGTGAGGATGTGCAGATCCCGGTCTCGTGCGTGAGCGCGCCAGCGCACGCGCGCCGGTTGCTGCAGGGGCGTCGCGGCCCGGCCGGAGATGTTGCCGGGGCGCTCTAGGGCGCATCGCGAGGGCTCCCCAGAGTTGGGGATCGGGATCGAGTCGGCATCACCCAAACATCATTACTTACTCGACATTTGCGTCGTTCACGCAGGAGTGAACTCCGCGCTCCGATACATACATACATGTGTATATATACACATACAGGGAGATGTATCCTTAAATTCGTGTATACGTGTACAACATATATATATATATATTACATACGCTCGGTGGTGAGCGTCGTCGGTCCCTGCCGCTTGGGTTTCGATTTGCATCAAGGCCGTTGTGCTACATGCTCGTGTCGGACGTGCGTGTCCAACATCAACACATCGAATCGGTTTGTTCAATTGCGATTAACCGAGCATCCATGCTTTTTTTCTGTTTCGGTATCTTCAGGAGGCGTTCAGAAAGCTCCTGGGACCTGTCACTGGAGACCTCTGGAGGCCCAGACATCTAACGTCGCGATTTTCGTCGCCCCGCCTTCGAACTCCTTTGAAAGCGGTCTGGGGGTAAGTTTCTTTCCTTGGACCATCGCAAAACGATCTGGGACTGATACGAAGTCCCTGGGATTGGCTGAATTCTGGGGCCCGCGTGTTGAAGACGACAGATTATCATTGGTGCGAGGGTTGTCACTCACGTCCTTGAGGTATGCGATCATAGACCCCTTGTTAGTCGCAAGCGGCTGCCCTTTGCGCAAAAGACCGCCGAGAACTGCCGAAGTGGGCCGAAGGTCGATGCGTTACACGGGACCCGTGGTTCCGTGGCGAACACGTGACTCCCGCCGTCCATCGACTTGGACTGGCAGGAGATGAGCATTCCCATACCTCCGCGCCTCTTGAAAAAACATCGAGGCGGAGGTTTTGGTCGCACTAATCGGCCTCTGGGTTTCATGCTTGGGCTCCTGGACTTTGAAGAACCGACTGAGCATGAGACGCAAGCCTTGGGAAAGAGGTTGGGACTTCAGGGGCTCCGTGTTGAAAACGTCAAGGGGTCAGATGTTTGGGTTAGGAGTTCCTTTCG